GAAAGGGGGATCATATGGTTTGGTGAAGAAGAATGGGAAAAGTGAGGGATAAGAGGATAAAAGATGCTGGTTGCATGTAAACAAGGGCTGGTCATAGCTGACCATGCTCTAACCCTGCACCTAATCAGTGCAGCCTGTCCTGTCTTCCCATTGAACTCCATTTCTAACTTTTCCTGGGTGCAGGGTTTTCTCTGTGTGCATGTGTATGCATGGAGGTCTACCTGCCTGCAGCTGGAGTTGGACCACAGATGACAGTGGGCTCAGGGTGCTAGCAATTGGAGAGACTGGAGTACATATTACATGGGTAGTTGTGTCAGTGTATAATCACTAGCAAATATCAAGGCAGGCTAGCTGACAAATAGGGTAAGAGTGTGGAAGCCAAGTGATGGAGTGGCCATAAATCTAAGATACTGGAGAGACAAGCACATCTGGATTTGGCTACTTGAGGGAGCAGGTGGTCAAAGCCAGTGAGTGGAGAGGATGTGAGGTCTGAGAGTTGGCTGCTGGTAAGGTTGTAAGTGTGGACCATCTGCCAGACATGCTGTTTGCATGCACATGTCTGTGCATGAGGCAACATGAGGGGCAATTCTGCATCCTGCATGTCAGAAAACCAAGATGATGATGAAGTGCTTCAGTGCCCCTTGAACAAACTGTTCAAGTTCTCTTACAGTGATAAGTAGATTTTTTTGTTCTTCTCTACTGGGAAAAATATAATATAATCATCATATACTTCTGCAACGCCTTACTGTTAGCATTTGTTTCAGAAAAAAATAGAGTCACCCTGTCTTATGGGGTGAGCCCACTTTTTATCTGGAATACAGTGGCATTGATTGATACAGACCATGGCTGTCTACAGGGGTAAGCGTTTTCTGTGGTGCATCTTTGTCCTGGGTACCTCAGTCATCCAGATGAGACCAAGGGCCCCTGTGAGTGCACATCACAGGCCCCTCCTGCCCTCCAGCCTTGTGGGCCTGTTTGCAGACAAGCAGCAGGGGGTCAAGATCTAGTCAGCTGTGTCTGTGCATATATACATTGCAGGCAGGCCATGGAGTAGACTCACTGGTATATGCACAGCATATACAGTATATAACAGCCTGTCAGACACTGGCATTGCTTCTCGTTGCCTTTTGGGAAAGGAAAAACATTTTGGTTTTAAATGTCAAGGTGAAGTTGTGTTGGCTGTGCTTTGAAACAGCATGTCCTCTTAAGTCTGTGTGCTTGTTTGTGTAGAGATGAAAGGAGCCACAGCTTGGCCCAAGTTCATAGCTCTGCGGTATAAATAGGTAGACAAGATAGCAAGCTGTAGAATTGCTATGGGACCTGGGGAGCCATTTGCCATGGACACTGTTTGGTATTTCAAGGCAATATTTTAGAAAGTAAAGTCTCTAACTAAGCCTGAATTGAGAGATTCTTGTTTTTCCCTTTTAGTTATACTCACTGTACAATGTTAATTATGGTTGACTAGCAAGCTGAAAAAAAAAGGTTGTTTTTCATATTCTATAAGTTTCTACATGTCAGTTGCTTAACTAATAAATTCTGTGAGTACGTGAGCTATTGGTAGCTAATAAAAATTGGGAGTTCAGACATACAAGCAAGCCTTTCATTGCATGAAGCAGAGACAGCATATGTTTGTTGGCTTGATTTTGTTCCTGTTTGAGAAGGATTGCAGCATGAAGAGTAACACTACCCACTTTACTTGTACTCTGAATCAGAGAGAGCGTGAATACATGCTTTTTGGAAGTTTGTCTGAATAATGCAAATAAAGACGCTTTCGGATAACATCTGGAAGCTGGGGTGCTGGTGATGGCACATATTGATGGCACAGTGCATGAGACAAAACCCAGAATGCGGAGCTGTAATGCTGCAGCGAATAATACAGAAAGCAGCATTTCTCTATTAGTCATTCAGAAGATGGTCTAAAATTGCCAGAAGGTACTACAGTCGCAGTAACAGTGAAACTTTCTAAGGCAGTGCTGTAAAAGACTGAAAAGTGGGTTGTCTAATTACTGTAGCTGAGCAGCTGAACTAGTAGGGAGCTGTGCAGTATGGCTAGTAAGCAGCTCATTAATAAACTAGACATCTTGCTCGTTAGTTCTTCAAAGGTCTGCAGAAGAGATCTGTGCTGTCTTAAAAGGAGGATATGCAGACTGTGAAATCTCTGAATGCCTGGCATGGAGAAATGAAGTGTGAAAGGAACTAATGATGCTGGTGGCATTTGGAGTGTGAGCGCATGCTGTCTGTGCGTGTGAGGCAATTAAGGAACCGCAGCACCTCACAAGCAACAGACCACAGAACACACACATTCTGTCTGTGCATGGCTGTAGTGTACCCACACTATATAAAACCGAGCTATAAACCAAGTAATTGTGATTCAAATTACTGATGTGATTTCCTTTGTTGGGTTTAATTAACAGCAGTTCAGCGTTACATTTCCTGCTAGTTAAAATGCAGATTGAGTAAAGGAATATGAGTGATTAATCGCAAAATGCATCGAGTGATGGGTTAAAGATGCAGATGCTGGACCAACTGGCGTTAATATTGGCTAGTAGGTACAGTACATGTGCGCTTTGGGGATGTCTAGGAGAGGGTTCTGCCTAAGGATGTGCTGGCAGGGACCAGAGGGAAAGACAAATCCTAGAAGGAAGAATGGGCCAACAATGACAGAAACACCCCAGGGAGTAAGGAAACCTGTGCCTCCTTGTGAGAGTTTAACTCCTTCATTGCAGTTTACTGAAAGTAGCAGTTAACATAGCACCTTAGTTTACTTTGGCCAGGGAGCAAACCACCAGTTAGATAAACAGCTTGACTAACAGTGGCTAGTAAACTAATTCCAAGAAGAAGGATAAATAAAACTGCTGTACCCCAACTGCGACATTGCCTGCCCAAATCTTGTCTCCTAGCTAATTGTCAACAGTTTGTCTTGATCTTTATTAAAAGTCTCTAGCACTTTGTTTTGGCTTCTTCTAAGAGTATAGCTGTCTCATTCATATTGCTGAAGCTTGCCTTTCTTTAGTGTACTTGAATATTCCCAATGTACAGCTGCAGTCCTCTCTTATGCTTGTCCTAAAACTTGAGTGACTAAAGAAAAATCCTACCCATCAAGGTATCTGAGCACTATATTTTTCCATTATTTTTCTCATAAGATTACATTCTTCCTTCCTCTAATACACTTCCCAAAAGGCACAAGCACTTTCAGTTTGTTTATTTGAAAACTTAAGCCGCACTATAAATGGAATATTGCTGGCTGAAGTTAAGTTCCACTTCATTCTGTCTTCTCTCGCAGCTTCTTGGGAACTTACACAGCTGATGC